TTATTATTGAACTTTAGGTGTGTTCTTTCAGGTTTCCTCAAAATCTTTGAAATCCCAAGAGGTGCGAGGCACTTACTAATTCAAGAACTAAACGCCACCCCCCATACTCTTGGTATGTGTTGCCTTATCTTGCTTTCTTAAAATGCTCATTTGTATATTATCTGCTGTAAAGGGAAAATAAACAAGCATTTTTTTCTACAGTTGTTAAGAATGTGGCATCTGGACTGTTCTTCTTAAARGGGGAAAATGAAAAGCCAGTAAACCGCTCAGTCATAGAGAAAGGCGTGGAGTGGGAATATCAGAACGACAACAACAAGGAAACCCTTCAGAGTACAGGACCCCTCAGACACGGGATTTCAATAATGGTACAGTATAAATAAGTTTAAGGTTAAGTTTTGAAACCTTTTTCTAAGTGTTTTTTTAAGGGATCTTTTGCTGCTCTTTAGATGAAATTACATGGAGACGAGGATGTGAATTTGTCCTACAAGTACATAATGAAAATGGACGATGACTCCTCTATTCAAAACAACATGCTGGTAGAAGACAGCGCCTATGAGTGGGCGCCAAAACAATGGTCCTATTGTTCCAAGTCTTGTGGTGGAGGTACAGTACAGCCAAAAAATYCAGACCCCCAAAGTCTCCTGCTTTTTATAACTGATCTTGTTTTCCCCAGGAAAACAGTACCAGCGATATGACTGCAGGAGAAAAGTTGACAGCAAGATGGTTCACAAAAGTTTCTGTAATAAATCTATCAAGAAGCCAAGAGGAGACAGAAACTGCAACCTGAAGCCCTGCCCTCCACCCAGGTGCGTGCTGTCTTATTTAAACCATAAATATGAGTTAGGAATATAGGCCAGGGCTATTCAACTGGTGGTCCGCAGGCCACTTCCAGCCTGTGGATGACTTCAGTACAATCCCCAGTAGGTTCATTAAATCAAACTAAAAAATGGCTTTTAAATTTGAATGACAAGTTTCAGTCAGAGTGGCAATCCTCTTATACAGATGTTATACAGTATAATGGGATTATACAATTCAGTCTACCAAATAMCCATCATCCTCTATACCCGCTTCTTCCTTTCAGGGTCACTGGTGCCAATATCCAGCAGTCACTGTGTGAGGGGCGGGGCACACCCTGTACAAGTTCATCACAGGGCCTAAAAAATATTTCATTTATTATAAAAATAGATTTTTAAATAGGAAAATGATTCTTTAATTCCAATTTATCTTAAATTGGATTTTAAAATAAAAAAGTGTGTTTAATTACTGGTTGTCTGGCCGCGAGCTGTTGGCTTTCAATAATTGTAGCCCACTGAGGAACACGGCTGAACAGACCTGATTTGGACCCATTTTAGATGTTTTGTTTGTTTGTTTGTTTGTTTGTTTGTTTGTTTTAGTTTTTTTTTTCAGTGATATCTGGTCAACTGTAGCATGGAAACAGCTGCACCAATCAACATGAAATTTGGCAGGAATGTAGATGTGTCTGACCTACACTGTTCAAGCCAATGGTTTTACCATAGACCCCATATTTGAGGAGGGGGCTTCACCTAAAAAAATAGGTGTCTGGGCATACAAAAATGCTTATAACTCAAAAACTATTCAACATAYGAGCTTCAGATTATTATTTTTTTGTTGTTTAGCTCTGATGAAGGGCTGTCCATTGGGCCCACCAATGAGCCCTCCCATCCCCCCGAACCTCCACCCAAAACAATAAATCTGTTCTGTGGTGCATCGGTGCTTTGCCTACGTGCGAGGGTCATATATGCTACGGCTATGTGATGTTTAGTTTTAAAAAGGGCTGTATTTTAACCATTTTTGAACATACACAACTAAAAATATATATATTACAGTAGTATCAGAGAACAATCTTTCACAATATCTAAATGCAAAAACAAAATCCAATATCCCCACCCACTTGTCATTTACTTCGYAGTGGAACCTGGGGTGGCCATCAGTTGCCAGGGGCGTCACTTGCCAACTCTGACCACCCATCTGGCTCTGCCCTATTACCCATTCAATGAATATTAATGAAACACTCAGAAATGACTTTAACTCTGTTAGTTTAGGAAAAACGGAGCTAAAATCTGATAGCTGTCGAGAGTGGTTGCATACTCCATGTACTGACAGATCACATCATGAGACTATGCATGATAWTATTTTTAAGATCTACTCAAAACTACTTTAACTCTAACATATGAGTKTACTGTGTATCTTTGTCATGAAAGGTGGAGGGTGATGTGCATTTTTTTAAAGCAAAGCTCGGTTTTTACTCCTTTTTTGTCTGTTTTTGACCTCCAGATGGGTGACAGGGGAGTGGCAGAACTGCAGTAAGCCCTGCGGAAAGACGGGGTTGCAAGTCCGCTCTGTCATCTGTGTGCAGCCGTCAGAGGACAACACAACAAGTGTTATCCACAGTAAACACTGTAGTAAAAACCGTCCAGAATCCCGCAGGATCTGCAACCGGTATCCCTGCCCCACTCAGTGGAGCGTTGATCCCTGGTCACGGGTATGTGATCTTTACTGGTACCTGGTGTTCATTCACTTCACCGTGCCTTTAGATTGATTCAAGCATATTTCACATTTGTAATATTCAGATAATTATCCATACCCTGCAATCAGTGATCATTTTTTGCCAAATGTCTTTGTGTATGTTTTGTGTCATTAGTGCTCAGTGACGTGTGGTAACGGGACCCAGCAGAGGCAGGCTCTGTGCCACACCAGGGACAACACCATCGGCCTGTGTTTAGARAGCAAACCAGAAACCATAAGAGTTTGTCGCATGGACCCATGTCCCAGTAAGTCCCGAGTAAACATCACTTCATAAATAACCCTCCAAGACATACTTAGAGCTGTTGATTCACAACTAATTAAACAAAAAAAAAGGTCAAACTGTGTCAACAAATGTCAGAAATGAACAGAAACAGAAAACTGTTAAGCAAATATGAAGAACTTCCTGTATGTTGTGTAACCAAAACAGGCCCATGATCAGTACGTAACTTGTGACTTTTCTAACTATTGACTGTTCAAGAGGAGAAAGGGCAGAAATTTTAACTTGAAATCAAGTTTTTCTGTCTCTTTCTTGCTCCCTGACTAAAGTTAAGAAAAGAGGAAACTTGAAAAATCATTAAATCTCTTCTCACTAAAACTTTTAGCAGCTGCTTTTGTTAGAAGTTCCTTTACCAAACAGCTAGTTTACTAATAGGGCTACACCTACTGCAGCATGAATGTTTAAGACTTCCGAAAGTAGAAGATTTTATGTAAGTGTCTTTCGTAGTGCAAAGTGATTAATAATGTTTGATTTTCCAGACTGTCTAGAAAAATCTTAAACGCCCGGTGTTTATTTTTGTCTTTATGGCTCTACAGAACTGTTGTGTAAAGTACCTCAAAGTGATACTTGAGTAAAAGTACAAGTATATTATCATAAAATTACTTTGGTAAAAGTTAAAGTCTCCTCTAAGAATATCACTTGAGTAAAAGTCAAAGTATCAGATTTTTTTGGTACTTAAGTATCAAAAGTAAATTTCTGACATAAAATATACTTAAGTATTCAAAGTAAAAGTACTGAGTAAAAACGAGCAGTTAGATTTTCCAAAATACATTTATTGGGAGGGGACCTCTCCAAAAAAAAWTTTTTTTTCTAAAAATATGCAGCTGTGATGGACTGTGTACAAATTAATAACAATATCAGAATGGTACACATTTAGAATTGGAATCAGTTTTATTGACATTGTCAATGAACAGGATTCACAGACTAGGAATTTGCTTCGGTGTAAGGGTGCAATAAGTATAAAATATAACAAATAAAGAAAATACAAAGGATAAAGGAAAAAATATTATAAAATACATAAAACATATGTACCCCAGTTCAATACAGTAATCAGCAGCATTTATACTTCTCATCCAACTACAATTAAATTCACTCTATCCTGGATGCACAATCTTTTTAGGATAGTATTTTTTAACACTAACAAGCTGAAACAAAATAGGGGAAATGACTTTCTACTTCTTACCTTTTAAAAAACTGAAAGAAGTAGAAAGTAGGGATAATTGTATAAAAATGTAAGGAGCAAAAGTAAAAAGTAGGCTGAAAAATAATTACTCAAGTACAGATAGCCAAAAAATCTACTTAAGTACAGTAACAAAGTATTTGTACTTAGTTACTTCACAGGTCTGCATCAGCAAAAAGCTGCTAATGAGATAGAAAGGGGGGAAAAAGGCAGAAAATATCCTTTTTAACAGAACTCGCCTTGTCTCTAATTAAGCTCTCTCTTTCTCTTTTTTATTTWTTTTTTTTTCCTGCAGAGGGCTCGTCAGACCTCAACAAAAACAGCAACATTCTGATCCAGTGGCTTTCTCGTCCCAACCCCAACTACCCGAGGATCTCCTCACGTAAAACCTCCCTCTATAGCTCCCAGCCCGGCCTCCACAGCGGCAGCCGCAGCTGCATGTCTGTCCTCTGCTGGGCCCTGCCCGTCTCTGTCCTCCTGTCTCTGCAGGGCCGGCCCCGGCTGGCCCCCTGACCTGCCCCTCCCCCACGCCTTGTGCCTGTGCCCATGCCCGCAAGCGAGCGGCAAAGCTTACGCTTCTCTTTTGGGGGGGGGGGATGTCGTGTCTCTCTCTCTCTACGTGTCCGAGGCGGCTCTGACCGAGGGAGGTCTCTGGCTCCTGTGTGTGCTAGTTGGTTCTCTCTTGCTCTGTCTCTCTTTATCTCTCTCTCTCTCCTCTGTGGAGCATTGTGTTGTGACCGCTGGCCAGTCGAAAACTTAAAAAGATCAACAAACAAAGAAAAAAAATCGGACGTGAAAAGGATTCGAAGTGGCAGAATTTCATTGGCACCTCCTGGGACGTGTCAAAGAGTCGTTCATGTGTGACGGGAAGGCCTCACCCTCTGCATGTGGCGGCCATGTTTTGCGCGAGCTAGCTGCGTATTGTTATGGGTTACCATTCCTGAGGTGCAGCAGCACTCTGTTCTTTTTGTAGCGCGTCGTCCGTGTGGGGAGAAACAGATGTGAAAATAAATAGAAATGTTATATAATATTCATACAGAAAAAAATTATATATATAAATATATATATATTGAAAAAAATTATGAAAGCTTTATTGTGAATGTGATCTGAGGACATCTTTGCTAAAGTGCTCATCTGACATCCTGGTTCCATTTTGGGGATGAGAACGGTGTCTCATTCTAACGTTCCATTCCCAGACTGACAAGAACTTAGCAAAGAGATTGAAAGTGATAACGAGGAAAACTTTGGATTTTTTTTTTCCAGGGAGGTGAAAAACCTTGAAGGACTTTTAAAAACAAAAGCTGAAAAAAAAAGTTGAAAAAACAGGGTAGTTTGACCACTTGAGGTTGCTTCCCATTTCACCTCATCATCAGCCATCCTCTCTGACTGTTATACAAAAATTCAATAAATGCAGCTTATTTGTGCTTGCAGAATTTAAACAAATACATCTATAAATATATTTGTATTCATATATACCTATAAATTAAAATCTATATGAGTAACAATAATATTAATAACGTTTTACCATGAATAAGCTGTAGCTTATTTGCCTAAAACCTTTGGACTGCTATTGATCGCTTAGATCCTTGACTGTTATGTGTATTTTTTTATTAATTTTACATGAATACAGATGAATATTTAATAAAGGCGAAGCGTTTTATTTATTTAGTTTTTTTTATTTTTTTTATTTTTTGGGCCGGGGATTGACCTCTATTATGCAGGACTTAGTTAGTTGCCTCTCCATGTTCTCAAATAGATCTGTGGTTTTTCTGTTGCTTCTTGTTTCCGTTTCAGGATAGGATCACGTTACGTCATGCCCATTTGCATCCATTGCCCCGTACATTCGCCTCTACATGTGCGCGTGTGATACGTTTCTATACTGTATGTGTGTGTGTGTGTGTGTGTGGGGGGGGGGGGGTGTCTTAAAATAGGGAAGTAAAAGAAGACCAGTCCTTGTCGAAGTTAAAGTGTGAGCATGAGTGTTTGTGCGTGAGGCTTGCATCATTTTGGGATTTTACATACTGCGATCAGATACAGAAATACCTCATAAACTTTGATTTAGAGAGCGTCTGGTGATTTCACTTTATTTTGATGAACATGTAACCACATGAACAATGCCTTATCTTGGATTGAATGTAATGGCATTTATCTGTGAAAGAGATGGCTTTACTCATTCAAAGTTTCACTCGGAATAGAGGCAGCTTCAAATCAACTAACAAACTCACAACCGCCAACCCATCAAAAACCTACCAAGGTGACGTTGGACCGATGTCCGACTACTGGAAAGGGTTTTCTAAGGGCCTAAGGTATTGACATATATGGCATCTAGAGGAAAAAAAAGAACACTTRAGAGTTGTCATTGTATTGTGATCACATATTTTTGTTGTGACTATGTAGCGAGCTATCCAAGGTTTCCTGCTGCTGGAGTTGGACTGTACGAGACCAAGCCAGACCTAGCAGTGCGATACTGTATATAACATTGGTGTTGACTGTATTTAATAATGTTCATGACTGTTATCTTCTTCTATAATATTCTATACTATGGGTAACTGTTTTGTGGCTTCACTGGCCTGCTGCGTGGGGCTGGTTAACGTTCGGCTAACGTTGAAGAAACCTTCAGATGGACTACGTGCACTGCGTCTATATGCACTTTGATTTATCAGGGAAATTTTATTAATGTTTTGTAAATGTTTCATATGACACTTAACGTGCCATTCCAGTTTTTACATCATCATGGAAATTATGTATTTTCTTTAAAAAAAGAAGAAAAAAAAGAAAAGCAAATATAATTTATGTACTTCATGTTTTCATTTTATTTTATGTTTTTCAACCGATGAACAGATTGACTGGTTGATTTCCAAGTAATCAAGTGTTTTACCAAAGTGACTGTGAACTTGTAACTTTCGATACAGTTGAATTATTTTTCTTAAGAAAAAAAATCTATATAATGAGGAGGAGGAGGCGTATATCATTGTTTCAGTTCCTGTCATTCTCAACAGCAAAGTAGTATCAATAAAACGTTTTAAAAAGTGTGACCTTTCTCTTTAAGAATGTTAAGTTTTGTTGTTGGAGAATAGAGTTGCTTTACTTCTTTGGTACAAGCAAGTGTTGGAACTTTAACAATTAACTGAAAATGCTGCATGTCTTCCATTAGCTCATAAAACATTGAATTAGATGTCTTAAATCTACAAATCTAACCTAAAAAACACATTCACTGAAAGACTGGCGACCCTTCTTTTCTGTTTCAGCTGCTCTGGACTAATTTTATGACTTCTCTTGGATTTTTCCTCACCTCTGCTGAATCCTCTGCTGACGGTCTGGCTTTCCTGCTCTACTTTTGGAAAATATGAAACACACACACCTAAATACACAGACAGGGATGCACTTTTATGCCTCCTCTAACATGCATACAGAAATCAATGCCAAAGTAAAAGCAATATCCTCCAATGAGCAGTATTTAATTCACAAAGATCAATTGTCACACATTGCTTCATAGTCTCAACTTCAGTCTGCGCAAAGTCTCAGCTCTGTGTTCTCTCCTTCGCAGGAAAACATTGTCATGGAGACCGCTCTGTGTTCTGTCGTATGGAAAGGCTGAAGCACTACTGCTCTCTGCCGGATTACCAACGAATATGCTGCAAGACCTGCAGCAACGTCAGCAGCACAGAAGCTGTGCCCAGTTCCACCTCTACATCTAGCTCCACCCTCATCACCTCCATTACAGATCCTTCATCTGGCAACACATTGAGCTCAGGCGTCACTACCTCGCAACCCATTAAAGCTGTCATCACTGTTTCAWCTCCCACCACTGATTCATGGTCTACCACTCATCTTCCAGTTTCCACTAGTTCAAATCTTCACTCCAGCCCTGTTCCTCTGAGTACCAAAGAATTAATGCCCACTCATCCACCAGCTGTAACAACCGCCCCATTCCTTTCTACCTCCTTTCCTGATTATGTCACATCTAACTCTTTTCCTACAGCTGAGAGTACACATCTGGTGATGCAGTCCACTACAACTGCTTCAACAACTGAGACAATAACTTCTACAGTCCATACACCAGCCTTCAGTACTGAACTGACTACGTTAACAGAATTAAGTACTAAAACAAACATCTCACTAAAATACAATTCTGACAAGAAAATTCTATCTAAAACCAAGAAAAAGATAATTCCACRGAAGGTTGATCAAAAGAAAAACACAAAAATAAAAAATACAAATAAGCATGTTTTACCAAAGACAATTTTCAAAAAGAAAACAAATACTGGTTCAAAAATTGGTGCTCCCAAAGAGACTAATCCATCAAACACAACTGCCAAAAAGACTATTCCAGAAAAGGCTATTCCCAAAAATACAACTTTAACATACACAACTCCTAAAAAATCAACTACAGCAAACATTAGTCCAAAAACTGGAAATACCAAAAAATATATTCTGTCAAAGATTGCTGAGAAAAAAAACACTTCAGCAAATGCAAGATCTCGAAATACAATTTTATCAAACTCTAGTCCAAGAAAGACTACTAAAACATACACTTCCAAGCAAGTTGGCACTCCCAAAAAGACTAATCCTTCCAATACCACTGAATATCAGACTACTCAAATAACTGTTAGTCCCCAAAACACAACTATATTGAACACCATTTCAGAGACTACTACAGAGAGCACTATTCCAAAAACTGGTATTCCCAAATTAACAATTGTTACTCAATCTATGACTCCTCCAACAACTACTAGTCCCCAAAATACACCTTTATTAAGCACCACTCCAGAAAAGTTGATTAAAGAAAACACTACTCCAAAAATTGATTTTCCCAAGAACACAAATCAATCAAACACCACTGAAACTATGATTTTTCCAACAACTACTAGTGCCCAAAATAAAACACATTTAAACACTACTCCAAAAAATAATATTGATGCAAGCAACACTCCAAAATTTGGTACTCCCAAAAAGATTGATCCTTTAAACAAACCTCCAAAAAAGACCAATCCAGCTAAAGCTAGTCCAAAGATTGGTACTTCCAAAAAGATCAATCCATTCAACAAAACTCCAAAAAAGACCACTCCAGCAAAAACTAGTCCAAAGGTTGGTACTTCCAAAAAGATTAATCCTAGCATTAAAACACTAAAAAAGACAACTCCAGCAAAAGCTAGTCCAAAGATTGGTACTTCCAAAAAAACTAATCCATCAAACAACACTATGAACATTACTCCAACAATTTCTTGGCTCCAAAATATAACTATTTTGAACATTACTCCAAAAAAGACTTCTATAACAAGCACTACTCCTAAAATGAGTACTCAAGAAATGATTAATCCATCAAACACCACTAAAATTTTGATTGATACAACATCTGCTATTCCTCAAACTACAACTTTTATGAACACCACTCCAAATACAACCATTACAGCAAGCACTATTACAAAAATAACACATTCATCAAACACCACTGAAACTACAAGTCCTACAACAACTGCTACTCCCCAAAATATGACTTTGTCAAACACTACTCCAAAAAAGATGACTAAAGCAAACATTACTCCAAGATTTGGTACTCCTAAAAATATAAAACCATCAAACAAAGCTCCAAAAAAGACCACTCCAGCAAACACTAATCCAAAGATTATTCCCAAAAAGACTAATCCATCAAAAACCACTGTGAAGAAAACTCCAAAAATTGCTCATTCTCAAAGTATACCTTTTTTGAACATCACTCCAAAGAACACTACTATTCTGAAAACAGACACTCCCAAAAAAATTTATCCATTAAACAAAACTGCAAAAAAGATCACTCCAAGAATTACTGGTCCAAAAATTAGTACTCCTAAAAAAATTAACCTGTCAAACACCACTGAAAATCAGATTACTCCAACCATTGCTAGTTCTCAAAATGTGACTTTATCATTCACTATGCCAGAAAAGGCAACTTCAAAAAAGGCTAGTCCAAAAATTAGTAATTCCAAAAAGACTAACCCATCTAAAACTACTGCTAAAAAGACTTCCCCAGAAAGCATTAATCCTAAAAAGATAAATTCATTAAACACTGCTGCCAAAAAATCCACTATAGCACACAATAATCCCAAAAATACAACTGTATCACACAGTACACAGAAAAAGAATGTTACAGCAGCAAGTTCTCCCAAAAAGGCAACCCTACCAAATACTTCTTCAAAAAAGAGTACTCCAGCAGACAATCCTGTCAAAAAGATAACCCCATCAAGCACCCCTTTTAAAAAGACACCTCCCAAAAAGACTACCCCAGAGAAAAAAGTTAAACCTACACCTAAAAAGGTCACACCAAACAATAATCCCTTAAAGAAAATTATCCCCAAGACAAAAGGCACAAAACAGACTCCAACAAAGACAAAGGTTCAAAACAAGGCAAAGCCAGTGCCAAAAAGTGTTAAGTTAAAGACCAAGGCCAGTCAAGATAAACCCAATACGAAAACAAGTCTTTCAAAACAGAAAACACCTTTTTATGTTGGAACTCCTACTCCCTATTCGATAAAAGAATCCCCACAAGGAGGATCGTCTACCACTCTTCCTCTCAGCAGCCATGGCACAATGCTGAGCTTGTCCTTCCATGAGTCAAGATTCACAGATGAAACTCCACAGTTACATTACACCACCACATCCAGCCATTTTACACATTCTGTAACACCTGCAGGAATAATTAACACTGAGGATGTTACAGTGGCAAGTAGCGGGGATGCTATTGACACAAGTGGGACTTTTCCAAGTGGTGATGACAACAAAGAGACCTACACCACTTCAGGGATAGTCAGTGGCACTGTTGTGCTGGAGGACGGCCTATCCATGATGATCCCAACTGTAAAGGAAAATGATGCAACCAAGCTTGCCTTCTCACCCTGGCTGGACCTGTCTGAGTACATCCCTGTGAGCATACCCATTCCCACGTCAACCTCAGGTCCACCTGCCACCTCACTTCCCACAGTGATCCCCCATTCCAAAGAAGAAGCTTCGACATCCACTCCACCAATGGTCTCTACCCTAAATCCCCAACAAAGATCTGTAGAGAACAACTTCATTGATGCCTTTGAGAACAAAGTTTCAGGTGTTGACGGTAACATCTCACAGGACAATCTGATTCCAAAGCGTCGGGTCAACCTCAGAGAGAAAACCAGGAACAAACGTATACAAGAGCTTCTGGAGGAAAAACGGAACTTTCTCCTCAGGATGAAACGGGGCCAGCGTGCACATTAAAGCAAGCCTTCTCATTTCTCTTATAGAGATAATACTCCTTTTAACTGCCATGTTGTTGTAAGTCAGGCCTTCCTAAGATTCTTATTAGATCAGGACTACTGCAGGGAAAGAAGACCACCATCAATTTTTTGAACAATTGTGTTGAAAAGAGAAAAAACTCTTTAGTGGACCAAACTGATGGAGATTTAATAAAAATCACTTTATAAAAACAAACAGGATGAAGACTGTGCATCCTGTTTGACGAGCAGCCTACAAAGCTATATATAGTTATTTCTGGACCACTCGTTCTCTTGTTAGTGGATTCAGTCACGCACAGTGCTGTGCAAAAGTTTTAAACCAATCCATGGAACTACACTTTCCTGTCAATATTTTAATGGCCTTGATCATTATTTTCTGGACTTCCTGAAAAAATTTTGAAGTTTTTCTTTGGATTTTTGATGCTTTTTTAACTTTTAGTTCAGACCATGACCATGACCGCAATAAGTGCAATGTGTGCTTATATTGTCTACAGCACGAGTTATGTCTTTAGAGTAGCACTTTAGGAATCACTTTGTTGGTCCCACTACATTGTTTCATGTGTCAAATGGCATTATATTTGGTATTTTTCATTCATAGAAGATTTACATATAAGGGAACAAACTGTGTCATTGTCACGGGCTGTTGTAAAAATACCTACAGATTTGTTCACTCCGAAGGATTTAGGTGGCTTAACAAACACATAAAAATCCCCTGCATACTGGATTTTAAATGAGTAAAAAAGTCCAAAGAAAAATGTTGATGGCTCTTCAAAAACCCCATAGATATAATG